TCTATTTTACCTGATGGTCATGAGATGCCTCTGTTATCGCTTTCTGTTATTACGTCCTATTTTTCCAGTGAATAAATAGTTCATGATTCATTCATTCTCTAGTTGGTAGGTATTTGATTTATTTCTGGCTTTGTGCTAGTAAAAATTCAGCTGTTGGACACCTTCTTGTATATGTCTTTTGGTGACCAGATGCATTCTTTTTTCTTGCTCATCTATAGATGTAGAAGTGGGCAGGCACGGTCCACTCTCACTAGATCTAGTCAATCTGCTACTCAATATTCTTCAGAGTGATTGTACCAAAGGAGCTGGAGGACCCCTGGATTAGTTGTCCTGTCCTGAGGCTGTAGGCAGGAGCAGCAACCAGGCCCTGCGCTCACGCATCAGACACGGAAGCAAGAGGATGGTCCGGGAGATTTAAGAAGGTAGAAGTGATAAACTTATTTAGATGCTATGGGAAAGAAGAGAATGGAGACCAGTGTGACTGCCAGGGCTTTCAAATTGCACTTGAGAAAGAGCAGCTTTGAGGAAGTTAATGAGCTCTGTTCTGAGCATGTCTTAATTGGAAGGACTCATGGGAAACTGAGGTAGCATCCAGTAGATAGGTTGCCTAGGGCTGAAGCTAAGCAATATTCCAGTCTAGAGATTCATGTTATGGAATCAAGAGAAAGAATTTTCCTCCCAGGAAAAAGACATAGAGAATCCCCAAAAGACGATGGAGAGGGTAGGAAGAAAAGTAAGAGTCTGTGTACCCTGTAAGTAGAACTTTCTTAGGGAGCAAGTAACCAACCCGTCAGAAGCTGCTCAGGAGTTAGAAAGATGAGCAGTGAAAGGGCCCTGGTGAATGCCAAGTTTAATCTAGTTACAGGACACTTCCAGTCTTTTTTCATAGTTGGCAGAAGCTCACAAAGTGTGGTGAGCCTGCTCCTTCAGATCTGCTTTACCGGCCTCACAGCCTAGGGGTGGTAGGGGGCAATTCAGCCACAGTCCCATCTTTGCCTGTGGCCTGTGAAGTTTTGGGGGACCACAGTTGGACTAGAGGGCAGACAGCAGCTAGGCAGGGCCAACCAGGTCCCTCTTGACACTGAAAGCAGTGACCGTGGAACACTATTTCCCTTGGGGCCTTTCTTTCCCCTATGGAAATTCCCAGTTGTAAAACATATTGACTTTAATTTCAAGTGTCAGCAAAGTTGCCCAGGAGTCTGGGAGCCAACCAGAGGAAAGCATGCTTGTATGGAAGTCAGGGCAAACAAAATAGGATTCAGAACATTTTTTGAGATCTGTGCCAGTGGTGAACTTTTCAGGGAAACATGACCCTCTAAGGCAAAAAGCACCAGGCCTTATCATTCTGAATTTGTATTCCTGCTGCTACACAAACTTGGAGAAACAGGAGAAAGAACAGCATGGTCTTCTTTCTTTACCAGGCACAAGAGGGCTAGAGGAGGCTCCCTAGAGTTTAATGGGCAGCTTTATGTATTTATATGCTTTGACTGGAGCTAAAGAGCTCTGTGCCACACAATGGGCAGTTTCTAGTTGGATTTTAAAAGAAATAACTTTGATCATTTCAAAAGCAATGAAGCCTGATGCAGCAGCAAGAAAAGAAAGCAGTAATTTATGGCTACCATTAAGGACACAAAGACAAAGGCGGAGTGAACGTTTCACTAAGTGAAGATTTACAAATGTATTTATAAAAAACCCCAAACACCCTTATGACTAGAAATAGCTGAGTGTCTCTCTCCCTACAGAACACAAAAGGGATAGAAGGGGAGAACTGAAGACAGAAAAGGAGATGCAACCTGCCTGCCTCGCTGAGACTGAAAAGGTCACAAGAAAAACAACCACGGAAAAGTCATTTTCTCAGATTCTTCAACAAGCAGCAGCACAAACAACGCCCAAAGGCCAGCCTGGCCAATCCAGAGGCTCTGGCTGCAGACCGAGGAGCTGAGGGTGGGAGCTCTAGGAGGTGGACCAAAAGACATATGTTTTAGCATTTAGCTAGGTGGATTGTGTGTGTGTGTGTGTGCGTGTGCGTGTGTGCGTGCGTGTGTGTGTGTGTGCGTGCCTGTGTGTGTGTGTGTGTGTGCGTGTGTGCGTGCGTGTGTGTGTGTGCGTGCCTGTGTATGTGTGTGTTTCTGCTTGGCCTTTTTGCTCAAGGCTGCCACTCTGCCACTTGAACCACAGCTCCATTTCTGGCTTTTTGCTGGTTAATTGGAGATAAGAACTTCCTGGACTCTAATGCCTGGGCTGGCATCAAACTGCAGTCCTCAGATCTCAGCTTTTTGAGTAGCTAGGATTATAGTTGTGACTATCAAGGCCTGGCTTAAGGGTGTGTGTGTGTGTGTGTGTGTGTGTGATATTTATTTTTTTCTAATCACCAAAAGGAATTAGTATATAGACATATATCCATACACATATGAATGTGTATGTATCACTTCATAGGAGAAAATGAAATGTACAGAGAAGCAGCATGAAGAGCATTCATATCTCTTGATTATGGTATTGAGTCATCTGTTTCTGGAGGGAGGCCGGGTGCAGTGGGCTACAGCCACCTGTGCCTGGGGAAACGCTTACTGCTCCCTTGAAAGTGCTGTATAGCTTGGAAGTCCAGGTGGCAGGCCCCAGCCTTTTTTCGCTCCTTGTCAAACCCAGTGTTTAGGAGTTCAGCTGGTCCTAGGCAAAGCAGGAGCCTGTCTCTTGTTCTTGGTGGCTCATCCTTGACCCCTAGGCCCTTTTGCCTCCATGATTCAGGCTTCTCTGAAGATCCTTGGAATGGGATTGCTGTGAAATGAGAATCTTCTGCAGGGATCTGCACCCAGCAGGGTCTGGGCCAGTGTCTGCGTGGCCCACCGTGGGCCAAGTGGTCCAAGTGGCCCAGTGCTGGGCAGTGGGGGGGTGGGTGGGGGTGGTATCTGAGCGGGCCTGGCGACAAAGGCGCAGAGCGTGCGCTGGGGGTGAGCAGAGAAGCCACGGTCGCCCCCTCCGCTCAACAACCCGTTTCCACGCATGGTGAGAAGTAGGTGGAAATAGTCCCAAGCCGGCTCGGGTGCCTGGGGACCACGCAGGATACACTGGCTGTCCCATGACGGGGGTGGGGGGGTATTTCAGGCTAGCAGGACGGCTGGTCTGTGCCCGAGGGGGGACTGGGTCAAGTTGTAGGGCAGAGCAAGCGGGCGGAGCGC